CTTCCTATGCTGCCTGCACTGAGTTCATACAACTCCTGCAAAGTTAATACATGGAAGAGTTTTGACTTCCTTCGACACAAAGAATAAAGAAATCTCAATTATGCCTAGTAAAATAAAAAAAAAACAAAACAACTTTCTATATTGCGGACATAACATGCCCCAAACGCATTTTAAAGGTTTGTTTTGACTTTAAGAATGTATTTTAAATCAATAAAGGAATAAAAGTGCCAGAAAGGGCATATGTGTGTGTGTGTGTTTGGTGGTGGTGGTTTCAAAATCAACTTATTACTCAAATATGGAAAAACGAAAGTAAAATTTTCGTTTTATAATTTCTTAGTTTGAATGCTAACTTCTGTTGGTGGCAAGAAACTTCAACCTGCCGATTAATGGTAAGTTAATCTCTCTCACTTGTCGGATCTGTTTTAGGTAAAGCAACCAATTCAAAGCTCAAACTCGTAACAGCTTAACTCTTAACCCCTTCTCAGGATCATGTCTGGGTGCAGGGGTGTTACTCAGATGTCCCTTGGTTCTCTGTTGCCTCTGCTGAGATGTCCCTCACCCTGCTTGGTGATGGAGGTGCAGTTGGCTTGATCTGGTCCATGAGCCTCCTAGTGGCATCTGCCACCCACACCCTGGTCCTCACCATTGCCTCTAGTGGCAAGAGTGCCACGCTCTGAGCTTCCTCGTTTGGAACCTAGGTCTTTTCTAGGTCTCTCTGCTCTTGCAAAACTCTAGATTTCTTTCTCCCCAACACACTGTGGTGTGTGCACCTTCCAAGGCTATCCTAGGCACGGGTCTCAGTCATCGCTAGTCCCCCTTTCTTGGATAGGGTTGGACGTGGCATCCCCCTTTGGCAAAGGGTTTCTTTACAAGGTCTGTGGTTTCCCCAAGCTCGGCCCAGGCTGTGGAGGATACAGGCCCCTGAAGTTCTCAGACTCTCACAGATTTATCTGGGTGGTCGTTTTATCCATGACATGCCCTCTTGCCTTGCAATACCTCTTATTAATGTTCTGACTAGGGGCAAGGAAGGAGCCATGACATTTTAGGTGATCCTTTGCCCTTTCTTCTTCCTCCTTCACCTAATCCTATTTCCAGAACTAGAAGGAACTTTTTCCTTCCTTTGTTATGACTTCACTTATATCGTATTCCATGTTCCTCTCTGATTGATGGCCAATGATCTGTTCTACGATTAGTTCTCTAAGCTGGCTATATGAAAATTCTCCTACTTCTTAAAAATCCTTTCTCAACATTGCCTAGAAAACCAAATAGTGGCTCTCCTATTTTTGATGGTTCCTTCCTCCCCATGAAGCTCTGGATGCCATCCACCTAGAAGTTACCAGATTAATATCCCAAAACATATTATCCTTTTGCAGTGAGAATTGTATATTCAATAAATGTCACCAAAGGATATGTAAAGGAAGAATAGGCTTAGCTAGCAATTTAGAAAATAAATCACTGTAATTAATTGCTAAAACAAATTCCAGGTGGATTAATTAATTGAGCAATTAAAGAAAAATCAAATCATTTTTAAAAAGTAGCAGAAAATAGAAATGAATATGTATCATGTCTTTACAGCTATCATTTTCTAAGCTTTAAAACCATAGAAGAAAGGAAATAGGAAAAGAGAAATTCAAATACATTTTTAAAAATCTCTGCACCTCAATAATATAAATAAATAAAAAGAAAAAAATACTTGAAAAACATTTTCAGCATATGTAAGAGTCAAGGGATATTACAAATGTTTTATAACAGACAACTTTATTCATTGCAAAGCTGATACCTTAAGAAAGCAATTTGTCAATATAACCTAGGAATCTCACTATTTGAGACTGATCCTAAGGAAATAATTTAAAAGAAGGCACAAGCTATATGTGCTTTTTATAATTCTGCTCCTATTGCATTGTGATGATCATAATACACATCAAACTTTCCCACCAGACAGTGGGACATTGTGATTTTTTTACCTCTATATCAGGATGCTTAGTCCAGAGTCTGGCATAATTGTAGGTGGCAAATCACTATTTTCTTGTACTATTTATGTTATAATAAAAGCTTAAGCAATCATAATTGTCAATAATAGGAATGTGATTATAGAAAATACAGTACAGTCACTTGGTTGGAACATAGTCAACTAAAATAATAATCATATAAGACATAAAAAAAGTCTTATATGATTACAGCAAGTATGAATCTTAGAATACTCAGGTGTGCCATACTGTGACTTTCTTTAATTTTCTATAATAATATTTATTTGCCTTTTCAAGCCCCCATTATGGCCAGTGTTATGGCCCTGGTACGCCCATCGTGCTGATTCTGAGTAATCTCAGGCCATTCAAAGTCCTGTTGCCAACCCCTATTCCCAACTGCTTGCTTGTCCTGGGGTGGGGCTGGCACTTTGTCATTACGTGCTCTTGCAGGCATCCACCACAGTGTCCACTGACCCCTCTTCTTTGGTCATTGATCCATGCAGGATCTGGGTTGTCCTTTGTTCCCTGATATGAAAGGTTTTCAGGCCAGCCTCTGTCTTAGCCACATTCTGTCTGTATCATCAAATCCCCCTGGGGCTGCGGGCAAGTCCGAGAGGGGCTGTCAAGGGTCTTCAGGTTCTAGTAGGGTCATATGTAGCCCTTGTGGCTCCCCCATGATGTTAAGTGGAAGGCCCTCTGTGACACTTGTCACTTCCCCAGGCTCTTTTCAGGAGGGGGTTTCAGGTCACATCCACCAGTCCCAGGGGGTACAGGGGGGTGGGGTACATCTCCCTCCCAATTCTCTGCAGCCCTGCCCTAGCCCAGCACTGTATCAGGTCTGGGGGGAGAAGAACTGGCTCTGACTGGGTAAGATACTGGGCTATAAGGACAATGGACACCTTCCAGCTTCTGTTTAGTGCTCGTTTGCTAACCGCAAGGCATTATGAGTACATTATGGGGTACAGAGGAAAAAGACAAAGAACGAGAAACCGGAGTCTCTCAGCTAGGACCCAGAAAAGGTTAGAGCCTATCAGGGGCAGGATAAAGTAAGAATCACTGTGGGGGCGGATGCATGACCAGTGTGTAAACAACTGAGTTATAAAAGGGTCACTAGCACACAAAGGGGGGTCCCTACCCGAAGAAGAGGCCACTGCGCTGGCACTCTGGGGGCTCAGACCCTAGCTCAAGCTAGACAATAAAACTCCTTTTGATAATTACAGCCTCAGTGACTCTGTCTCTCTGTCCTGTGGCTTTGCGAATCTCAAATATAACAACTGTTCATTTACTTCCAAATGCTCTTGCTTTTGGCCTGGACCTCAAGACAGAGTCTCACTCTGTTGCCCCAGGCTAGAGTGCCGTGGCATCAGCCTAGCTCACAGCAACCTCAAACTCCTGGGCTCAAGCAATCCTCCTGCCTCAGCCTCCAGAGTAGCTGGGACTACAGGCATGCACCACCATGTCCAGATAATTTTTTCTATATATGTTTTTAGTTGGCCAATTAATTTCTTTCTATTTTTAATAGAGATGGGGGTCTCACTCTTGCTCGGGTTGGTTTTGAACACCTGACTTTGAGCGATCCTCCTGCCTCGGCCTCCCAGAGTGCTAGGATTACAGGCGTGAGCCACCGCGCCCGGCCTTGGACCTCAAGTTTTGAAATTCATAATCCAACATAAGATTATTTTATTATCTGGTTCTGCTATAACGACTCTTCCAAGACGGTTTTAGGAAGAGCCAAGATGTAAACTACAACAGCACAAACCAAAATAAAAATGTAAACGTATCGATTAATGTATCCTGACAGCATCCAATGCCCAGTTAATTTCCACACATCCTAATCCTACAGCAGAAACCGCAACCGGTTCAGAACTGAGCCCCACTTCCTTAGTCTGTCCTCAAAATCCTACAGCAGGACCCAAACCTTACAGAAGAGGCTCCTCCCCCTTACTCTGGGCGAGCATCATTCTACCGTTCCTCTGGCATGCCCTCCATTGCTTCCCTGAGTCAGGATGACAGGTTTGTGCCTAGGGCCTTCTTAGAGGTTCGTCCCCTTGGCCTATGCTAATGACCTTTCTTACAGACACGACTTGATGAAAGCCTTGGGGTAGAGCACCGTCCTTGGAGAGAGGAGGGGTTGAACTTGGGAGGCACCTGTCGCTACTCTCTATTTTCCCCTCTGGTTGGCTTCAGTACCCTTCTTTTGCCTATTCTCTGGATCCTGAATCCTTCCAGGAATCTTCTCAATTTGGGGCACCGGTTTTGATCTTGTGCTAGGCTGTTGCAGTTGCCACTTCTGAGCTGACAACTATCTCCACCCACTTACCTGGGAAGTACCTGCTCCTTTAGTCAGATGGCTCAGGACAGGCATGTCTTGGCTGGGAGTGAGGGTAGGGTGGCCCTTAGGAGCAGTGCAGTGGCCCTGACCTAGTGCAGCAAAACTGTGAGAGGGGCTGAACCTCTGTCCCAGCCTGGATTCCATTGGGGTTGGGGGCAGGAGGGCAAATTGAGGGTGGGAAACGTCAGCCCTGCTTGTTGCAGCACTATTTTCTGAGACCTAGTGCTAGGATTCCCAGTGCTTTGATGGCCATAGATGAGTCGCCATGGACATAAGGTTATTACTACTGTTATCATTGATGTTATTATTAATACTCTTTTCAATTGGTATTATATTTATAACTTTCCTGAGAACCTTCACTTTGGTCTTGTTTCTTTCCTGTGAGTTATACATAACAAGAAGGATCGTTTTCCTATTTCGCAGTTGTGGAAACCAGAGCCCCGGGGAATTTGCATGACTTGCCTACGCTGGTGATAGAGCAGAAGTCTAAGACCAAAGTCTCTTGACCCTAGCAAAGAGCCACTCCAATATCTAACACCAAAAGAGCTCATCGGACAGTGAGTGTTGGGGCATCCATCTGACCCTGGGTGGGTTGAGCTGCGGATATGACCCAGGTTTAGACTACTGGGTCTTAGTGGGTGGAACTGGGGGGCCTGGAAACTGCCCACAGCGTATGTCCACAGCTATCACCCAGCACCCACCTGCTGATCTCACCTCCAGAAGCCACCCAGCCCCAAGGCAGGGAATGGAGCAATGCCTGGGCTCGGGTTATGTAAGCGGAGGCCGAGTGGCTGCCAGCCATCTGGGTACGAAGAGGTGGAGGAGGGCCGGCCTCTGCCCTGTCCTCCTAAGGGTGAGCGTGGGCACAAGAATGCGGAAAGGCCACTCTGAGCTGGGCCCAGTGGCTCTTTGCCTTGGAGCCGGCTCTGAACTGACAGGTTCAAACCAGCCTGTGGCTTGGCCTGCGCTTCAGAACGGGGTGGTGGTTGCAGGTTTCTTTCTTTACTTCTTTTTCTCCCATCCCCACCCCAGACCGGGCTGTGCACTGAGAAGGAAGGGAGTGGGTGAGACGGGAGGCAGCAGGGCGGGACAGTGTGCGTCAGGAAGACAGGCTGCGGGACTGGAGGCTGCTCTGCCTTCCCAAGCACAGGCCCTGGAGTCAGCTTTCCGGCCCACCGGCGCGGTGGGCTCCTTGACGGGACTGTTTCTGGCATCGGTTTTCTTTAACTCGGTTCCGTTCTCCTGAATCCACCCTTGCTCTTTCCTCCGTTCTTCACACAGCGGCCAGAGTGAGCCTCCAAAACGCACATCTGGTCATGTCCCTGCCCTGGCCCGAGACCCCCAGGGGTCCCAACCGTGCATCCAGTCCTGATTCCTCAGCAGGGCCAGCAAGGCTCTGCGCACCCTGGGGTAGCCTGCCTTCAGCCTCACCTTCCACCCCCCCCAGACCCCCAGCTGCTTGCAAGCTAAGCTCAAGTTTCTGGAAAGGGCCCTGTGTTTTCTTGCCTCAGGACCTTTGCACATGCTGTTTCGCTACCTGGAATGCCCATGGCCCCATCCCTAAGCCTTTCCCCTCTCTGTTCCTGCTTACGTTATTCAGAACCCTTAGATCCGAGCTTGGGAGTCTTCTTCGGAGAAGTCTACCCCAGCACTGTGCCCACGTTAGGTCCCCTTATGTGCTGTCATGATTCTTCATACTTTCCCTTTATAGCACTTGTCACACATGTAATTAGCAACAATTGCTGTTTATTTAATGTCTATCTCATCTTTGCTGGCCTGAAAGCTCCACAAAGACAGAAGCACATTGTAGTTCCATGCACTCTAATATCTTCAGTACTTTGGGTGAGTGAGCCCATCAGATTCGATTTAGCAAGTGCCTACTGAGGGCCTGATACTCAGATTCAGCAAAGACTTGCTGGGCACCTGCTATGTGTCCAGCAGGATGCAATTTCTTATAAACTCTCAATGAATTTGTTTAATCTCCACAAACTGCATGCTAGAGTTTGGAGTTCCAAGGCTAAAGTTATCACATTGAGATTATGCAGGCTAGTTGAGCTCATCTGTGTCAAAGGCACAGGCCCGGCACGTGTTAGGTGCTCAATAGAGATTTATTCAGTGAACAAACATGTTAACAAAGCAACCTTCTGATGGAGAAGGGAAACCATTGCTTGTACAGCTGAGAAACATACGATTCCCCAAATCCCATAGCTAGGAAATGCTAGACCCGGGATTTGGACCCTGGCCTGGAGGCTTGAGTCCAGATTTCATCCCGTGCTCCCACTCAACTCTGCTGGCTCAGGGGGCAAACTCAAAGAGGTAAAAGGTGTTGGTCTGTCTTCAAGGTACAGACAGTACAGTCGATAAGAAGAAGACAGACACACAGAAAATGACCCGAAGACAGTTGCCTCTGATTTCATGCCAAAGAAACTGACACAGACAGTAAGTGGAGGCTGGGTGTGGAGGCTCACGCCTGTAATCCTAGCACTCTGGGAGGCCGAGGCGGGCAGATTGCTCAAGGTTAGGAGTTCAAAACCAGCCTGAGCAAGAGTGAGACCCCGCCTCTAGTATAAATAGAAAGAAATTAATTGGCCAACTAAAAATATATAGAGAAAAAATTAGCCGGGCATGGTGGCGCATGCCTGTAGTCCCAGCTACTCGGGAGGCTGAGGCAGAAAGATTGCTTGAGCCCAGGAGTTTGAGGTTGCTGTGAGCTAGGCTGACGCCATGGCACTCACTCTAGCTCGGGCAACAAAGTGAGACTCTGTCTCAAAAAAATAAAAATAATAATAATAAAATAATAAATAAGTAAGTGGAATTGGAAATCAGGGAAGGGAGAGGTCGATCCACAGAGTAGCGAGGGAGCCTCCAGGGATGGAGAGGTGAGAAAGGGCCTTCCGGGAAGAAGAGACAACAGAAGCAAGTGCAGAGAAGGGCGAGTCGGCAGGAAAGGCACTGCCCTGGGACGACGCACGACCCACATCCCGAGTGGCAGGCGAGGACACCTGGGGAGGAGAGGTGGCACCAGGACCCCAGGGCCCTGCGTAGCAGACAGACAGGCCATTGAGCCTGGCAATGGGGGTGTCACTCGAGATTTGTGATCGAGTGGCGTTCAGGGAAGATGGGTCTGGGAGCAATTGTGCGGGACGGAGGGAAGAAGAAAGGAAGACAGGGTGGAGAGAAGAGGGAGGAAGGGGAACATGGAGGGAGAGAGTGGCAGCATTCGTTGTCCGCCTAGCAGGCCCTTTCCGGAAGATATCTCATTTAAGCTTCTCGGCTACACTGAACCGTGTGTGTTATTATCTCTGCTTCACAGATAAAGAAGCTGGAGTTTAAAGAGGTAAATAACTTGCCCAGAGTTACCCACCTAGATAAAAACGAGAACTAATGCTGGGGTGTTTTGCCTCCAAATCCAGCAACGTTTACCCCACGTTTCAAGGCACACTTGACAAGGAGCCCAGGTAAGAGGTTCTTGCAGCAGTAGGGAGGTCGCAAGGCAGCGGCTTTGGGTAGAGAAAGAGACTTTTCTGAGCTCAAACGAGTGTGCCTACCTCCGGGGTCCAGCTCTAAAAGCAGCGCAGCGGCGGGCTGCGGCGGGCTGTGCTCTCACTAGTCTAGCAGTGTGGTCAGGAGCAGCGAATGGTCAGTCCTGGGACAAGTGTCCGGGGTGGAGCCACGCCGAGAGCTCGATCCAGTGCAAAGTCCCAGGAGATGCAGTTAGAGCCGGGGAAACAGCCCGGACTGGGGATGTGGACATCTGGGATCTGGTCCTGGAAGCACCACGTTGGGACATCGGGTCGGTCACTTAACCTACAGGAGCCTCAGCTTCCTCATCTGTAAAATGAAATTTAAAATCTCATCTCTTCCCGTGGTTTGAGAACCAGATGGGATTGTGACTGTGTGTGTGTGCCCTGTCTGCTGAGAAGCTTCGGCTGGCGGAAGAGATGGTGGCTGCCACCAAGAGCAGAACTGTGGGGGCGGGCTGACCCCGCGCTGAAGCGGGGCAGAGGGCAGGTGGCACTTCCTCACCCAGGACTGCAGGACACGCTCGCCGAGCTATTGCCCTGCACTTTGTTACCAACCGTCCCTCCCTCTTGCTTTATCCCTTCCAATTAATTCGCCACTCGTTTATTAAGTTCCCAAGCTATCTAACCCATTGTGCTGAGCCATTCTTATTCCAATCCTTGAAACACCCTTCTTTGTACTCTTCCTCCACACCAAACATCAAAAGCAGCTAGTACACCTGTTGTGCTTTTGGCAAAAAGGGAGTTCCCCATATCCAAATATCGAGACTTCCTGAAATTCTTTCACATGTTCCTTGGCCTGTCCACCTTCTCCACCAACTCACCACCCTGTGGCACATTCGAATTATAAATCGCATTATAAATCCCAGGTGTAGTTCATCAAATTCAGTTGTAGAACGAAGAAAAGGGAACAAAAAATGCTTGCCAGTTTTCACTGCTGCTTAAGTTTAATGTGAGCATTTTACATGCACTGCCAGACCCAATGCCTTGTGAATTTATTTTTCAGAGAAAATGCATTCGTGGGGACAGGTATTTTCATTTATTGGTGCCAAAGCCTCTAAAGAAAAAATAAAAGTGCCAGTGCATTGCTTAAGTGTGTGTTTCATTCGCACAAAACAAAATGACCACAAAATGTCTGGCTGTACCGGATCCGTCCCAGTAGCCTGAGGCCGCGGTCCCCAACATTTTTGGCACCAGGGACCGGTTTCATGGAAGACAATTTTTCCACGGATGGGGGTTTGGGTGGAGAGCTCAGGAGGTGATTCGAGCAATGGGGATCGGCTGTAAATACAGATGAAGCTTCGCTGGCCCACCGCTCACCTCCCCACCGCCCCAAGTTTCATGCTAACACAAGTTTTCCGCTCACCAAGGTGGTAGGTGGTGGAGCTCTGCGGCCCAGTCCCTAACAGGTCACAGACTGGACCGGTTCACGGCCCAGGGGTTGGGGACTGCAGGCCTACGGTAATAGCTCACAGGTGTCTTTGCAGACCTACCTACAGACATGCTTGCTGTGGACGTTCATACCCTCGGCTCACCGTCCCTTGCCTCTGCGTGTCTGCTCAGCCCTGAACACTTCGGAACTGCTGCGGGTCCCTCTGGGGACCAGGACCCGAGAGGCCAGTGTGGAGAGGATCCTGGGTCTGGGATCGGGCCCTTGATATGGGGGAACAGGGAGAGGAGGCCAAGAGGTTGAAGCACCAGGGGTGAGGGACAGGCAGGGGAGCAAGGCCTAGAGCAAGGTCAAAGGGACATTTCCCTGGGCACAGAGAGGAGGGGGCAGATGAAACCCTCTGCAGGGGAGCATTCTAAACGCCCTGACTCTTTCTCATCAGTCTCATCCAGTGCGTATGACCGATTGGTTTGGGAAACTCTCTGCTCCCTGAGGACGGGGGTCAGGGAGAGCTGCGTTCTCCTGGGACAACCGGCTGTTTGGACAAGTGGCTTATGAAAGTAAAGCCACTCCTTACTCTTGTATGCTAGGAATTCGTTTATTTATTCATCCAGCATGCGTTCACTGAACTCCTGTAAGATGCCAGGCACCCGCGCAGGCTGCCTGCTCCCCTCCGCCTTCTCCCCATTGCACGACCCCACAGGACAGGAGGCCAGCAAGCCGCCTGCCTGCTTCCAATCCTGGTGGGGGCATGGAGGGGACAGAATGGCACCCACCCACGCTGGCTGATGGAGAGAGAGGAGAGCACCCAACGTCCTGGGGACCCTCCTTATCCAGGCCACCCCTCGCCTCTCTTGCGCTCCTCCTCCCTGCCCTCCCCTGCCCGCAAGCGCATGACAAGAATCCCTCCTTCCAGCTCAGCCGGTTCTTTGACCTCCTCCCGCCCTCCCCAGAGCCCAGGTCTCCCCGCCCCTCTCC